AAGCAGCCAGGGGGGGATTCTGCATGAGCCAAATAGCAGAGACAGGACCAATCTTCAAAATTTTGGTGTCGATCATTCGATTTCATCCTGGACACTACAGAAAATGGGCTAAAAGTGTTAAAAACCGGAATTTTCCTTTAATGATCCACTGATAATTCCTTGATGACCGGACTTCTCCTTTAAATGTGTTGATCTATCTAGACCATTTTTCTTTCAGCTTCCACCCTGAACATTAAAGATGAATCCAGATGAGTTCCCTCCCCGCCTCGTCTATACTGGAACACATCTGTTTGCCTATCTAGTGTTTTTACTCATTTCCTCTGCTGAAATTTCCAAGACGGCGTTCCCTCTTTCTGACTATCCTAAGGAGTCTAGGGAGGAAAGAATCCCAGAAACTGATCTGATTTAAAAAGCCAAGCTGCATAATGCTGTTAATCAGAGCTTAATGCAGGAGCTGAAAATAAAAAAGCCCCGCTGTCTAACTATTGGCATCTCTATCCAAATAGATACATTCAATCACAATTTTTTCAACATAAAAGTTGTGTGTGAAAGGGTAAAAAAAATAAAATAAGAAAAAAGTCAAATAAATTGGGTATGAATCTGTCTGTGATAGAAATGGCCGTCACAGAGAACACCAATGGCTTCATAAACAGTCTACCTTTGCAGCAGGCCGTACCTGTTTGTAGAGCTGATGCCGTTCCAGCAGCTCAGCAAGTCTCTGGTTCCACAGCGGGTGGAATTCCTCGTAATTGTCGGAGTTTCTGGGATTATGAACTTTGGAAAGCAGCAAGTCATGAATCCGTCTTTCCTCAAAAATGTCCAGGTCTTTGTCCACCACTGCCCCAAACACACTCACATAGCCAGACACATGCGCTCTGAGGAGTTCCTGCCAGCAGAAGGATTACAGTCATCTTTAGAGTTTGGCTAAAAAGAACAAAGATGGAGAATAAATAGAACATGTACCATAATGGTGATGAAACTGTGAGAAGTCTGACATCCCAGCAGACAAATGTCACCGTAGGAATCCAGTGCAGATTTGGACACACTGTTCAGGTAAGACTGTAAGGAGCAATGTGACCTCAGAACCTCCACCAGGCCTTCAGAGTCATACTTCAAGCATGTCTCTGTAAACGTTTCAATGGATCCCTAAAACACATTAAGGTTTGACAGACAAAGTTATAAAGAAAAGGACTGTTTCAAGCAAAGAAGCAAAGCGTAGTACAGCTTTAAATCAATAACATTAAAATGTGCTTTAAAAAGAGGCGGTTATTGGAGTCCTCCTGACTGCAGTGGGTCTCTGCTCCAAGTCGTTAAGCTGCTGTCTCACCCTTCAGATTCCACATCCTCCGTTAGCGCCCCCCCACGCACGCCATGCGGAGTACTTGTCTGTTACGTTAATCAAAGAGGACTGCACTACTCCTCCGCACGTCACCGTCCACATACGTCTTCTCCCTCAAAATACCCATCAAAATACCGAGCTGAGCTATTTTCTGCTCCACTCCGGCCAGGTCAAGATCCGCTATTGCAATCGCACCAAACAGGATAAAGAACGGCAAGAAGATCCAGTTTGTCGAATTAAATTATGATAAAGAAGGATCGGTAACTACAAATTAGAGCATAATTCTTCTAGATTCCTAAAAACTGGGACGTTAAATTCAATGTTTGGATGCAAACTATTGGTCCTTCAACAAACCAGGAAGCAGATTTCTCATCTTCATCAAAATATTTATTTCATACCGAGAGGCTTAAGTTTCATCAAATCCAGTAAAAACAACTTCCAAGAGGGAATCTCACAACTTCCAAACAAACTTCGGGCATGGAACACAGTTCATCCAAACCATGGATGATCCTAGTTATCCCTATAATAAGAATTCACAACAAAAAGAAAATATATGGGCAGAAACCGCACACATGCTGGATGCTGATGGTGATTCTTTTAATTTTTTATGTCATATTAAATTAAGCATTCATTTCTGCATGTTTTGCTCCTATGAATTTAACAATAATATAGCGCATTGTGTCCTCGAGCTCCGAGGAAGTCACAGCGGAGCAAGACGGGAGGAAGAGCAGAGGCTGCAGGCTTTGCTTTGCACAGGCGGTCTGTAGCGCAGCGGGGCGGAGTGGAGGATGTGGGATTTCGTTGTCAGGGAGGAGAGGGAAGCATTAGCCTCATTTAGCAACTAAAAAAAGGTCCACAGAAGCGGTTGACAGCCGATATGCTGCCATGCTTCATTTCTAGTTAACAGCTTTGCACCATCAAGTTCCCAGAAAACATTTAAAAAAATATATATTAAAATTACAACTCGTATTATGAAGAAATTAACCATGCAGTAAAATAAAAAATAATTTCATCAGTTCTTTGGATGTTGGACCAACCTGCTGGGAGGCATCAGCTTTGCCCTCCTGCTGCTCCTTCTGGAGGGACTGCAACTGAGAGCAGAAACACAGTCAGCGCAGCCATGAAGCATTATTACCCTGAAGAATCTATACTTTATTCCTCTTTTCTATTCAAACTACAAAGAAAAGCTTTGTTTCACTATTATAAGATCATAGATTAGTAATTTTGTGGGTTTGTTTCTGTACAGATGTGGCTTTTATTTCCTGAGTTAACTAGTAACTGGTTGAATTACTTGTTGCTGAAATCTGGCCTCTTGTTGGTCTTTCTCTGTTTGCTTCTGCGCAGTCAGCAGCTCCTGCTGGGTGAGCTTCTCCTGGACGGCTGACATCTACAAACAGATGCAGCTACTGAGTTATTGGGTTTTCTCTGATGGATGTCCTTAGATCAGTAGCTTTAGTACCATGTGGATGTTTTCCTGCAGCTGTGCTCCAAGCTGCTCCTTCTCCTCCCTCAGCTCCAGCAGGACGTCCTGCAGCTGCTCTCCTTCCTGACGGACAGCAGCCAGGCTAGACTGTAGCTTCTCCACCTCCTCTTTGTGCTTCTGAAGAGTAATCTCTTTTTCAGACTCTAGAGAGTTTCTCTGTACTTCAATGATTTCTAACTGTTCAGCCAAATCAATTATCTGAAGAAAAAAAACAACATGAATCAATAATATTTAGTAGTGATTTAGATCTCCGGAGAAGAAAGAAAAAACGAATGAAACCTTTTGGTCCAAAGAGCAAATCTTTTCTTCACTGGTGTTCTTCAGCTCAGAGTTTAGGTTCATTTGTTCAACCAGGTCGTCTCTGGCTGCCTTCAGAAGCTCTTCTGTAGATGACGCCTTAAAGAAAAATAATCAATCATAAAACCTAGAGAAGCAAAGAATGTCATTTATAGAATTAACTCCATATTCAGGTGAAATCACCTTTTCTAGCAGGTGCTGTAGCTCCTCCTCCAACTGCCTCTTCTGCTCAGTGACAGTCAGTACAGATCTGTTCAGCTCCCCAATCTGCTCATGCAGATTAAATGTCAACCAAACAATAATGACATCGTTTTACAGAGTTAAGTTGTCTACATGCACCATGAGTAGCCTTAAATATCAATGTTTTTAGTCATCAGATGAGAAGATGAAGCAAAAAACCTCCAGAACAGAGCGTGATCTTTTCTAGAGCTAATCTGACACCGATTTTAGAAGAAACCAAGGACAAGATTATAAACCGTTTATCCTATTATTTAATATTGATGCTTCCAAACCTCAGCTTCCAATGCTTCAGTTCGTCTCTGCAGCTGTGCTCCACGCTCCTGGCTCTCGCTCAGCAGTCCCTCCAACTGATCCCGATCCTGACTGAGAGCCGTCAGTCGGCCCTTCATCGTCTCCTGCTGCTCTGTCACAGCGGCCATCTCAGCCACCAGACGCTCTCTCTCCGCTTTCAGACACTCCAGCTCCTTCGTTAAAAAAAGCAGAGGAAGAACATGTGTTTCTTTCTTCATAGATAAACGGATTTAGTTCATGAGCTGCTATAAAACGCCTCATCCACCAGAGTGATCCTCCAGAAAATATATGCAGTTCTACCTACTTCTCCTTCCAAAGAAGTTTAAAAACAATCCGCTGGACTTTGTCTACAAGTTTGAAGACGTTTCGCTTCCCATCCAGAGAGCTTTTTCAATTCAAAAGGTCAGAAATGGGCTACGTTCACAGTGCGGCCTGAAGTCACCCAAATCTGATATTTCTTTTACCCATATACGACCCGGATCTGATGTTTTCATGGCAGTCTGAACAACACAGATCCAATTCTTTCCAGTGCGACCCAGGCCACTTGGCTCTGTGGTCCTGGATCCGATACGAATCTGATATTTTCAAATGCTACCTGTGTGTGAACGGCCAGGTCGCATTCATCCGACCTGAACACCATTAGTAACCGACAAAGGTCACTATTCTGCGTCTTGCTACGCAGAAGCAGCAAGAAAAACAACAACCATGGTGGACAATGATGCGGAGAGCAGTATTTATGTTTAACCATATTGAAAAGATTGAGTTTTTATGGTTGGAAAAGACCATTAGTTGGACGCCGGTACTACCATCCATGTTTACTTCCGTAAACACAGAGCACGCTGGCCTGTGATGTCATTGCGTCCTCTAATGCGCATGCGGGACACTTGCGTTGTATGACTGCAGTTCACACAGGAGATCACATACAAGTCGCATATATTTGGAAATGTGAACAGCAAGGCAAAATAAAAAAACTGGATTTAAAAAAAAAAAGGAATTGAGCATCAAGGCCTGTGGTGTGAACGCAGCCATAGTGTTGAGGTTGAGGCTTCATACAGTAGCCCAACAGCCAGGCCAACAATTCCCTCTAATGACCCCCTTTCAGAGACATAGACAGGTATGGGGCATTGCAGGCTAACAAAGAAGCCAAACGACCCCCATTCCAAAGGGGTGGACCCGTTCATCCATTTCTATTAGCATGTTTTCTAAACTGAAACCAGGCTTTGTTGGGCTGCTGTATAAAGCCTGGATCTCAACGCTATTTCTGACATTTTGAATTGAAAAAGCTTCCTGGATGGAAGAGAAACGTCTTTAAACTTGGAAACAAAGTCCAGTGGATGTTTTTTTTACTATTTTGGAATGACTCTGACCTGAATGACTGAGAATCTTCACCAGCATACCTGCTTCTCCGTGTCTCTGCTGCTCTTCAGCTCCAACATCTGACTCTTTAGATCCATCATCTCCTCTTCCATTAGTTGGCTGCTCCGTCTTAACATGTTGACCTCTTCCTGCTTCTTTAGGATCTGAAAATATTAATTATGATGTTATAACAAAGGAAATATACAGTTCAATACTTTATCAATCTCAAGGTGAAACTCAGCTTCCTGCCTGTCCAAGAATACAAAAACAGAGAAAGACGAAGCACAGACATTATAAATAGGAAGTGTGGTCCGAAAATTTAGATTTCCCTTTTGTCATACATTGATTTATGCTACTTACTCAGACCGTTTCACCTGAACGGCCACACAATGCCTGGGTGAGGGGTGTTTGTAGACAAGACATACTTTCTCAAGGTTTATTCATAACATGTTACTGTTTAACCAAAGTGTTTGTAATTTGTTTTTTACTCTGACCACTTTCCATTGTTGTAAGTAAGGTGGAATGAATGCTGCCCAGCAGAACAGGGCTGATTACCATGCGAGGGCCGTATGATGAACTGTTCTCTCTATGCAAAGATAAAATAAAGCGCAGACTGAGTGAAATCCATCGATCTCCGTTTATTTAACTGGGGTGTAGTTGAATCCTTTTTTTCCCCACGACCGGGACACTGTGTCCGAGGCCTGGTTACCATGAAAGGAACTGCCTTTCCATTTATGATTCTAGTTTTAGTCCGTGAGGCAGACACCCTGTCTACTTTTAAGGCTAGGCTTAAAACTTTCCTTTTTGATAAAAGCTTATAGCTTATGCTGCTATA